GACTACAAGGAATTCTACAACTTCCTCAAAGTCATCGCGGAAAACCGGATTTCCATCCTGGAGAAGGGCCTGGACGAGGAATCCTCATCCCAGAACAATTCCAAAGCCGCCATTTCCACCTTGGGAATGCTGCACGCCGTGTTTGACCTGAAGAGGACGGTGAAGGTGCTGAGCTCGTTAAGCGCTAACGAGGATTTCCGGAAGCTGGATCTGACTTCCCTGTCTCCTTCTCCAGAGGCTCTGCTCCAGCACCTGGAATCCGCCATCGACACGGCCCTGCTCTGAATTCCCACTTTTCCAAGCTTTTTTCCAAAGGGTTTGGAGGAAACGGACTTGGACAAGAGCTTTACTCCAGCAGGAGGAGGGAGAACATTTGGGAAGGAGGGAGAACATTCCCAAAGTGCTGAGTGGTTTGGAGGAATTAGGGAAAAAACCCTCCCAGCCAGAGGAAAATCCCAAACTTCCTCAGGATTCTGTGCAGGTGCTCAGGGAACAAATTCCCTCTGGATCATCTGGCGTTGGAATGAAGCAAATTCCCTGTGCTTAAGCTCAGCTTTGTTACAACCTCTCCTACTTCCAGCTGCAGCTCAGCTTTTCCATCTTTTTTTTTAGGGAATTCCAGCTGGTGAGTTCCATGGAAGCCTGAGCTGGAGCCAGCACCTGGAATCTGCCATAGACATGGCCCTGCTTGGAATTCCCACTTTTCCAAGCTTTTTTCCAAAGGGTTTGGAGGAAACGGATTTGGACAAGAGCTTTATTCCAGCAGGAGGAGGGAGAACCTTTGGGAAGGAGGGAGAACATTCCCAAAGTGCTGAGTGGTTTGGAGGAATTAGGGAAAAAACCATCCCCAGCCAAAGGAAAATCCCAAACTTCCTTAGGATTGTGAGCATCACTCAGGGAAAAAATTCCCTCTGGATCATCTGGCGTTGGAATGAAGCAAATTCCCTGTGCTTAAGCTCAGCTTTGTTAAAACCTCTCCTACTTCCAGCTGCAGCTCAGCTTTTCCATCTTTTTTTTTGGGAATTCCAGCTGGTGAATTCCGTGGAGCTGGAGCCTGGATTTGGGAATGTTGATTCCCTGTCTTCCAAAGTGGGATTTCCAAAGCTGAGACGCTCAGGATTAAATTTAATTCAGCTCCGAGCGAAACCTGCCTTGACTCATCCCAATAAAAAGCAGGAATGGGAATGTGCTCCCAAAATTCTATCCCAAGGCCCAAAATTCCCTCCAGGAAAAGTTGTGAGTGGTTTGGAGGAATTAGGAAAAAAAAAAATCATCCCAACTAAAGGAAAATCCCGAATATTTTAGGATTCTGAGCAGGCACTCAGGAAAAAAATTCCTTGTGGAATTTTTTGTGGATCCAGCACTTCCTGCACACTTCCACAGCACAATTCCCACCCAGACTATTCCCAGTGGAACCTCCCCCTCCTGCTTTTCCTTGGAAAAATCAAAAACCTGGAAGCACAAATGGCTGCACACTGTTACCTTCAGGCCTTGCTTGAATTCTTCCCGAAACTAAAACCGAGAAAAACCTGGAATTTCAGGAAGTTTTAGGAAATCAAACTGAAAATCCACCTCGTTTTCCTTGAATTCCTTGGAATTTTTACCCCCCCCTGCACTTTGCATGTCCTTTTCCAGTAGGAATTTTGCATTTTTTTCTTCATGCCCAAAATTATCAAGGAGCCGTTTTTCCTTAATTTAGGAAATTCCCGGATTCTTGAAGACGACAAAGATTGGAATAAGGAGCATGCGGAGCCTGGAATCTTCAAAATTCCAAGAGTTTTATTTAAATAAAAATTCCTGGCAAACATCCAGTGAGAGTCTCTCGTTAATATATTAATTCTTAATTAGTTAATATAGTAATTAATCTGTTATTTATTAAAAGATAAAATTGGGGGGAAATGGGAGGAAAAAACCTGGGGGGGGTTTTGTTTTCCCAGAGTCACCTGGATAAGGCAAAAAAATTCCTTGGAAAAATGAAATACATCCTTAAAAAAAATGAAAAAATCCCAAGGGAAAAATGACCAAAATCCCATTTATTTAAAGTTTTGGACTTCCAGTTTTCCCTTCCCAAAAATATCAAGGATCCACTTTTCCTTCATTCAGAAAATTCTCAAATTCCTGAAAACAAAGAAGATTGGAAGAAGGAGCGCGTGGATCCTGGAATTTCTTCCAAATTCCAAGAGTTTTACTTAAATAAAAATTCCTGGCAATCTTCCCATGGGATTCTCTCATTAATATATTAATTCTTGTAATTATTCTGTTATTCATTAAATTAAAAATTTCGGGAAAAAATGGGAGGAAAAAACCTGGTGGATTTTGTTTTCCCAGAGTCACCTGGATAAGGCCAAGAATTCCTGGGAAAAATAACAAAAATCCCAATTTTTGGAAGCGTTGGATCTCCAATTCTTTATTTCCAAAATTATCAGGGAGCATTTTCCTTAATTTAGAAAATTGGGAAAACTTGGGAAGAACAGGTGGAAAAAGCTCGGGGAGTTCTATTTTCCTAAATAAGAAAAAAAAAATTCCCAGGAAACATGAAAAAAAAAAAAAAAAAAGCAGGATAAAAATGTCAAAAATAAGATTTTTTTTTTTTTTAGGTTATTTTTAACTTATTTTGGGATGCTGGGAACAGCACCCCAAATATCCATTGGGAATATCCCAAATATTTTTTTTCCAAAGGGAAATTCCAGCTTGGAGCACAAAGCACGTCTGGGGTTGGCCGAGCGCGAATCCAGCTGGGAGTGGAGTCTTTATTCCATGATTTTTGTTTTCCCAGAATTTCCCAAAATCCAGAAGAAATCCATGGTTTTTTCCAAGCCCCCCCCAGAATTCCAAAGAACCACGGGATTATCCAAGGTGTGGGATCACCCCCGAGGTCTCCCAAGGATAAATAAAAATCTTGGAGCATGGGAAGAATCAGGAAGTTTGGGAATAGCAGCTTCCAAATGGAATCGGAAAAGTCCTGAGATGGGAAAAGTAGGAAAAGGAGTGGCGAGAAAAATCTCCTCTCATTCCCAGAATTTTTTAGGAGTTTTGGGATGAGCTCTCCTTCCCAGTCCAAGAAATCCCATTAAAAATTGGTTTTTCCCAAAGAAATTATTTCTTTTTTGGGAATTCTCCAGTGCAAAAAATAAAAAAAAAAAAAAAACCAAAACATCCTGACAGGAAAAGGAGATTTTTTTCCCAGGAATTATTTGTGGGAAAAGGGGATAAAACTCAAAAAAAAACCCCAAAAAACCTTGGAGATGGAAATTCCAGCCCTTCCAGTGTTTTTGGGATCAGGAAAACCTCGGCTGGGGAGGAATTCTTCCCTTTTAAGGCAGCCAGGGATACAATTCCCACTTTTTCCAGTGGGGTTTGGTCCGGAAAATTTGGGAAAATTTGGATTTTCCCTACGGATCAGGAGCTGTGGGAGTTTTCCTTTGGATGGAGCCGGATCCTCTGGATGTGTTCATAGCACGACTGGGGAGGGAATAGAGCAAAAATCAGGGAAAAATTTGGGAATTCTGGGATCAAATCCAATCTCCTGCAGACAGAAAATCCCTGCTGATCCCAAGGAGAATTCCAACAGAATTCAATCTGTCCGGAATTAAAGATTAGGATTTTTTTCCAGCCTAGCAAGGGAATAAAATCCCAAAAATTCCATTCCAGAAAAGCTGGAATTTTGCTGGAATTCCTGGAAAAACTCCCCTTACCTCCAGTGCCGTCAGCAGGAAGTCCAACATTCCTCCCTGGTTGGTCGGATCCATCAAATCCCGGATCAGATGGATTTCAGCTCCCAGGTGTTGGATCCTAAGGAAAAACAAATCCCGAAATCTGGGGGAAATCTCCGGCCAAGTGGAGGGGTTGGAATTTTGGAGAGGAGGAGGAAAACTCTGGAATTCTGCTGCTGCTTGCTGGTGCATCCTGATCTGCTGGAAGGATCTGGGATCTCAGAATCCCAGAATTCCAGAACCACAGAATTCCAGAATCCCGGAGTGTTTGGGGTTGGAAAGCTCCTTCGGGATGATCCATGAGCAGGAACATCCCATTGTCCCAATTTTTTTTCCAAGTGCTTCCCACTGGGAACACTTCCAGGGATGGAGCAGCCACAACTTGGGATGTTCCATCCCAAGAAAATTCCAGATCCATCCATAGGAAATTCCAAGTGCTGGGTGGAATTCTGGATCCTTCATCTCCCAGAGGAATCCCAGTTCCTGCTGAGGATGGAAAATTCCTGTAAAAATCCCAGAATTCCAGAATCCCAGAGTGTTTGGGGCTGGAAAGGTCCTTAAAGATGATCCATGGTCAAGGACTTCCCATTATCCCAGTTTTGTCTGGGCTAAAAGATGGAGACTCTGGAATTCTGGGATAAAATGAATGTCATTTTCCATGAAAACCCTGGAATATCGTCTGGGATAAGACACAGTCTGGAATTCTGGGATTTTCCATGAAATATCCTTTGGGATAAGACAGAGCTACTCTCTGGGATAAAAGGAATCACTTTTTCCATGAAAACCCTGGAATATTGTCTGGGATAAGACACAGACAGTCTGGAATTCTGGGATTTTCCATGAAATATCCTTTGGGATAAGACAGAGCCACTCTCTGGGATAAAAGGAATCACTTTTTCCATGAAAACCCTGGAATATCGTCTGGGATAAGACACAGACAGTCTGGAATCCTGGGATTTTCCATGAAATATCCTTTGGGATAAGACACAGCTACTCTGGAATTCTGGGATAAAAGGAATCACTTTTTCCATGAAAACCCTGGAATTTCTCTGGGCTAAGACACAGACATCCTGGAATTCCGAGCTAAAAGGAATCTACTTTTCCATGAAATATTGTCTGGGATAAAACACGGACACTCCAGAATTCCGCCGGCACTTTATATCCCAAAAACCCCAACCGTGCACCTCCGGGAGCGGGGGAGGAAAAAAAACAAAACACCACCACATCCAACCCCAAATCCCGAGAGTTTTCACTGGAATTCTTCCAGCTGGAAATATTCCAGAGGGGGGGAAACATCCCACTGACTTGGCTCGGGACACGACGAACAGGAGGAGCGGCAGGAGGTCGTCCATGGGGAGCCGGGACGCGGCGCCCGGCAGCCGCGACACCGCGCGCTCCAGCTCCTCGTAGGTCTTCCGCAGGATCTCCAGCTTCTCCCTGGGATCCACCGTGGTGCTGCCGGGAGACAAGAGCCGTGGGAGAGCCGCCTCCGGAAAAGCAGGATTTCAACATTTTAAAAATTAAAAAAATAAAAAAAATAAAAAAAAAATTCGGGGTGAAAGGATTGATGGATTGGCTCCGAAGGGTGGAGGAAAGAGGGGGAGCAGAGGATGGGCCAGGAGATGTTCCAGGGTGGAATGGGACATTCCTGGGGTCTCCAATATAGGATGGGACATTCCTGGGGTCTCCAATATAGGATGGGACATTCCTGGGGTCTCCAATATGGAATAGGACATTCCTGGTGTCTCCCATATGGAATGGGACATTCCTGGTGTCTCCAATATAGGATGGGACATTCCTGGGGTCTCCAATATTGGATGGGACATTCCTAGGATGCCCAATATTGGATGGGACATTCCTGGTGTCTCCCATATGGAATAGGACATTCCTGGTGTCTCCCATATGGAATGGGACATTCCTGGGATCTCCAATATTGGATGGAACATTCCTAGGATGTCCAATATGGAATGGGACATTCCTGCCATTTCCCATATGGAATGGGACATTCCTGGGATCTCCAATATTGGATGGAACATTCCTAGGATGTCCAATATGGAATGGGACATTCCTGGGATCTCCAATATGGAATGGGACATTCCTGCCATTTCCCATATGGAATGGGACGTTCCTGAGATTTCCAAGGTGGAATGGGAAATTCCGGGTGTTTCCCATATGGAATAGGACATTCCTGGGATCTCCAATATTGGATGGGAAATTCCGGGTGTTTCCCTTATGGAATGGGGCATTCCTGGTGTCTCCAAGATGGGATGGGACATTCCTGGGATCTCCAATATTGGATGGAACATTCCTAGGATGTCCAATATTGGATGGGACATTCCTGGTGTTTCCCATATGGAATGGGACATTCCTGGGATCTCCAATATAGGATGGGACATTCCTGGGATCTCCAAGGTGGAACGGGACATTCCTGGTGTCTCCAATATGGGATGGGGCATTCCTATCCGTTTTCCCCAGGGTGGAATTCCTGGTATCTCCAAGGTGGATCCCATCCCATGGATGCACTTCCTGGAAGCCTCCATCCCATGGATCCCTTCAAGCTCTCGGGATACTCCACTGGAGAGATGAACCTCCTGGAGCTCATACACAGAGGAACGGAATTCCAGGAAATCCCAGCCAAGCCAGATCTGCTCTCCAGCTGAAAACAATGAATTCCCTTTGATCCAAGATTTTGTGTGGAATCATCATTCCACACTGGTTTGGGGTTGGAAGAGACCTTAAGGAACATCTCATCCCATTCCATGGGCAGGGACACCTCCCACTATCCCAGGATTCTCCAAGCCCCGTGCAACCTTTCCTTGGCCATTTCCAGGGATTCAGAGGCAGCCACAGCTTCTCTGGGAATTCCAGCCCAGCCCCTTTCCCATTCCCACAGGGAAAATTCATTCCCAAGGTTCTTTTCCAGTTGGAGAAGGAAAGGCAGAGCTGGGGGAAGGCAACTTGAAGGAGTGGGAATGTTCCCAGAAAAGCCCATGGAGACAAAAGGATCCCAAATCCAACATGGCCATGGAATAATCCCAACTCAAATCCCAATCCAGGTCTGGCTGCAGGAGCTGTTCCAGTCCCATCTTCCATAGGGA